GTACTGTTTACAATCCCAAAAGGGTTGATTTGGTGGTTGGCTTCTCTGTATCGTACTATGCTGCTTGCCCCGTGATCTGTGCTCTTCCGGCTGTATCTCACTCGTCAATCAATAGTCGATCGCAACAACAATTCCAATAATAAGACTGAATTAAGAAATAAATATAACCAAATACAGAGTAGCCTATAAATGGCTGGAATATAAATTAATCGTTCAGTCTATGGAATGGGTCCGCGATTACTATTATTTAACCCCCTGCTCACTGCAGTTCAATTAACGCCTTACTATTAACTAACTAACTAACGTTCTCCTCGAGAACTTCTTTCAATATCGATCGTTCAACAACGATCCCACTATCCTCTAGATAGCCTAACTTATATCCACTAACTAACTAAATCACGTTAACAAGTCTTCCAACTTGTTCCCACTTTACATTGAGAATAAAGCGACTACCTTAACTCGTAGCCCAAATTGTTCCCTAACTTAACTGAGAACCAACTATTTTCAATCGTAGTTATCACTGTTCTCTCTAGCTGAGAACCAACTATACTCTATCTCAGTATCAATTGTTCTGACCCGGTTCGGTGGTTGTACCTAAATCGCGTATCGTTATCTTTATTTAGTTTCGGTTCGGTCAGAGGCCTACCGTTCCTTATCGCTACTAACATTCACTTAACTAGCCGCCACTCAGGACTTATCAGCTGAATCAACCATTAGGTCATCTTTAATTAAACATCGGGGTGCCACTTAGTTAATCAGGACATACTGAGCAAACATTGGGTTCAACTACAAAATCAGCTCCCAATCGTATTTGACAAATGAACCCTTGCATTATTTTATTTTAGTTCTTCCTAACTTTTTCCCTTTCCTATGGATTGGGTAGTACTCACACAATCGGTAACTTAACTTCCGTGATACTTGAAAAGTTTCCATTTTGGTCATTTTAATTTTATTCCCCTAAGTCCAAGGGCTGGGTAATTCCCTTCCCCGTGTCCGTTTGGATCCGAAAAAACACCACAAGAATTTATTTAATATGCTAGGGCTGTTCATAAAATCTTCATCCCGAAATTCCCATTTCCCCCCATAGATGTTCCCAATTTTTGTACGGGGCTGTATTTTTACTTGTTTGTCGTTTTTATCGAAAGTCCAAGTGGAGTGGGTTGAGCTGACTCCAATGTTTGCTAATTACAGAAAATCACTTTCGCTCGCGTACAAAGGTCAGAACTAAAAACTCTCAATTTAGGGGCCTCCCCTTACCTCCCAGGTGGGTAGGTACCCCTTTACGGGTCCTTACAATGCTAATTTATCGCTTGTCAGGGGGTTCCGGGGTCTTGGGTTCAAGAATGCCTAACGACCTCTTAGAGGTCATCCGCGGTCAAATGAGGTCAAACGCGTCCAAACGTCTTATTTTCGATGGGAGATCATTCTCACTAAGTTTCATTCATATCGGACCATCCCTTCCCATATTTTCGAAAATATTGTGTCAATTAACACTTTTCCCTAAAATTGCCATTTTCACCCCATAGGAAGTTCCGGAGAGGATTGGATCACTAGATGTCCCCCTACTGGGTTGGGCCCCCCTTCACATTGGTGCATTAAAATCACAAGTCAATTATCACTATCAGGTGTTAATAGCCTTATTCAATTTTCAAGTGCTAATAGCTTCCGACATAGCCGCCGGATTGGGTCCAAAAATTGATACATTATAGGTCTCACCCCAACCTACAACCCCCCCAAGTTTCAGCCTCCTAGCATCATCAGGGGTCGAGAAATAACAAAAAGTAGGTTTTGTTTACATAAGGCGTAAAACCGGAAGTAATGACCGGATGCGTTCAAAATCCCGGTGGTGATCTTCCCTCGCCTAGGGCTACAACATATTGCAATATGAAGTCATTCTGACCATTAGCTACTGGTTTACAAAAAGTGCTAATTGCATTTTCGGAAATCATTATCACTCGCCCCCCAGGGGTCCCAGCGGTCTGAAAATTTGCATGCCCGGCTAAAATCAACTCTATTAGTCACCCACCAATTTTCATAAGGATCGGACCAGTGGTTCCCAATCCGGGGGGGGGGGGGGGTTTCCAGAATTTTAGCGCTTTCTTCTTTTTTCCAATTCTTCGCCCTAGAGGCCAAATTCAAGGTGCAAAGTCCGATTACGATTGTTTGCTCTCAAACTAAGCTTATCTATTACTAAATTTCATTGCTACAAGTTCATACAATCAAATTTCGCAATTTTCAACCGTTTTCATCATGAATTACCAATCCTACACCCAGGTTTCTATAGCATGTAATACAGTAGAATCAACAATTCTACAATCTTCCCTTCTAGTCTATTATTCTCCCGAATAATGAAAAAGTTACTAATAACAAGTCTACGGTTAACTTACATAACGCTTCGTTCCGCTACGCCGTGTTCTCAACACTTGGTCGTTTTTCCCCCTTTTAAAAT